ATATCAGTACCCATGTTGCTGATAGCGACCATGTTACCAATGTTGAAGACGTTACTCACTGGAGGTGAAGATTTTGTTTGTAATGTTACAACAATATATAAGATTGCTTCCATCGAAGCTGGTGATCGTTACGAACTCGACTTGTCTTCCCCTTCCTGAGCTTGGGATTCTTCTTTGTCGTGTTCTCGCTTACTCTCGCTTACTCTCGCGAGATCTTATTTAATACCTTCCATCTGGACCTGTTGTCACATTAGAGATCGAGCTGAGGATACTCTTGTATATCCTTATCCCTGCTTGTTATTGTGACATGTTCGCACTCGCTAAACTTGTGTTTTTCTTTGTTTGTTTGTTGTTTAACGCCGCATTCAGTAATATTCCAGTTATATGACGGTGGTCAGTAAATAATCGATTCTGGACCAAACCATCCAGTGATTGACAACATGAAAATCAATTTATGTTAATCGCGTGATTATACTTTTTTTTTAGTGTCGGCATCACTTGCCTTTTCATACAATGGTTAGTGTTATCGATGTGATAAACCAACCAACCCAAATCCTCCCCCACCCCCGGACTTTCAACCGCCTCCGTGGTCTAGTGGTAGAGCGTCCGCCCGGAGAGCGGAAGTTTTGGGGTTCGATCCCATACCAAAAGACGTTAAAAGATGGCACTTGTTGTTATCCTGCCTGGACGTGACGTTAAACCCCATTTTACCTCACATCACCCGACTATCATTTTGATAGGAACAAGCAGCTACATTCATGTTGACAAGGTGCCCCAACGAGATGGGAGTTTCAGAACCTATGAAACAATCATAGGTTTCATTTAGAACTTGGGTACAATGTGTGAAGCCCATTTCTGGTGTCTCCCGCCGTGATATTGCTGGAATATTGCTTAAAGCGGCGTAAAACCAAACTCACTCACTCATATAGAACTGCAGCATTACCGTAGGGCCTGGGTGGGAGACTGACCAGCAAAGAGGCTCAGTAACTATAGGCAACTCTGTTCAACCGCATCAGTTATCAAGTGCTACCACAGGTCAACCAAACCTGAATCATACCTTAGTCAAGGCGGGTTAATCAGAGTTGGCCTGGGTTTTGAAATCGAACGCAAGAAGATAATTACTCACCAGCTTGAAAGCAACAGCCAATCAAGATGGAACCACAAAAGATGGGAGCTTCAGACCCTGTGGAAAGTCTAGACTTGCTTCGTTCAGGGCTATAGAATTACCGCAAGGGCTGGGCGGAAGGGGAAATATTGGTCAGGAACTTTGAGACCGTCCCCCCTTTTCCCATCATGACTCTAAGTGTACTCCAGTCGGTGCCCTTCTATCTGGATGTATTTACACCATGTTGCGATAGTGTACCATGTGTCGGATTAGTTCACACTGTAACCTCGATCGGCCCCTTAGTCAAGAGAGGGGGGCTATCGCAAAGATAAAACTGTCCCTGAAAATTATGCTTCAGACTCACTCACTCACTCAGAGATCATCGATCATTAATCAGTTACCTTCGTTTTGATGTTTTTCAATGTTGAGTTTTATATCACACCAACAAAGACATACTGCAGCACTATCTTTTTTAAAAAAAGACACTGACTTCACTTTTTCTCACTTCTTTTTCTCCAGGTACTAAGTACTAGGTATTTGGAGTGGAGGGGGGGGGGGGGGGGGGGGGGGGGCCTTCGGTTATTTCACTTAATCTGAACATCCCTATAAAAAACCTAACAAGCTGGTTATTATGAAGTATTTGCCCCAAAGATAAAACCTAGGTTTAATTGCCCACATCGATGTTAAACACATGGAATATTTCAACAGACATAAATAAATACATTTGAGGTGTTCATATCTCTGCGAACTAGAATTGACAGCTGTAGTTATTTAAACATAAGTATTCTATATGTGTGTGTTTGTAAACTCCCAATCACCGTTTAATTTAATCAGCCGTCTAAGCTTGAGTGGAGATACGTTCTTTATCTGGTGTAAACACTCAAGTCTCGGAGGAAGATGTCTATTTCACTCCTCAGCAACGAACATCCCTTTGGGGCATGTCAGCAGCGATTCACGTGCAACAGCTCATCCGCCTCGGGAAGTACAACCAGACGTTGATAGCGTGGGCTGTCCTGGTTTGGTATAACAGTACCACCAACGTCTCTCATGGTGTTGCCTTTCCTGGCAGAACGTGGAAGCTTGTTTACTTCACATGAGGTCAAAGTTGACGTTTGTTGTGCAGGTGAGGAGAACGGACGTTTTTAGATATCGGTACTACGGATAATTACACGCGATAGTGTTGATCCTAGGTATGTGAGGGGTCGCCCTATTTAGTACACGAAATCAATCTGTCTTGGAAAATTACATACGGGTTTGTGTTTAGGGATAGCCGAATATTATCAGATTAGGTGGATTTTACTTCATGTTGTATTTTGCTCTTGGTGTCATATACAGCGGTGTAGTTTATCAGATATGTCAGATAAATTATTTACATGCACATATGTTTAGAATAGATTGTTAAACGCGGCGTAAAAATATCCTCACTCACTCTTGTCAGAAGTGGAATACTCTCGTTAACAATATGATGATTTACAACCATTAAAATATTTGCCGCATGTTTGATATCTTGTGACTTTATCAAATCTTAATGCATTCACATTATGCAGTCCAGCATGACTGTTTGGTCAGATTTGACCGCCTCCGTTTTGTCTGCCCGGAGAGCGGAAGGTCAGTTTTCAAACTTCTTGCCGCGTCGTACCACAAGATGGTACTTTTTGTTACCCTGCCTGACGCTCAGCATCAGTGTGGCTAAACCAAGGACAGGTCGGCTCGGATTCAGTGTACTGTTTCTGAGTGGGTATTCATGTTATACTGCGACATTGCGAACCCGAGGCTTCGGCGTGACGAGCGAACGCTGGGAGGAGGTGTCCGGCAGTCATTCCGGCCAATGGTGGACACAGGTCTTCACGACTACCACGCTTTTGATGATATAGTGACGTAGCCGGCACATACAAATACTTCTTCGTTGACATTTGATGAACACTGTTTCACTTTGTAGTCTTTCAAACACACACGTGCCCCACATATTGTTGAAAGTCATTGACGGGTACAATGTGTGAAGCCCATTTCTGGTGTCCCCCGCGTGATATTACAAGAATATTGCTAAAAGCAGAGTAAAACCATACTCACTCACTCACTGTAAGTCATTTAAGAAGTCACACAATGTATTTCTTCTAAACCATGTATGCGTTTTTTGGGGGGGCGAGTTTATTTCTCTGTGGTTCGCTATAAGATTGACCAGATTGTTTCTGATATTACTCACGTATTTGATGAAGAAAGTAATCAACAGACTGGGTATACTGCTGACTTTGTTTGTTTGTTGTTTATCGCCACACACAGCGATGTTCCAGCTTAAAGGCGCCGTGCTGTGAATAATCGCGTCTGGACCAGACAAACCAGTGATTGATATTATCAGCTCGATGACATTCCACCCAATCCATTCAGTCGCCTCTTTCGACCGGTTGCGGGGGGGGGGGGGGGGCAGTTCTAATCCGGAATCCCCACTGGGGCGCTGGCTGGTACAACATAACACTTGTCAATGTGTGTGTGAATAAATTCTGAGCTTCCCTCCTCCATACAGAATGTTTTATTTAGATAACTACACACGTGGAATTCATTCCAGCTCCTTCCACGCGATACTGTTCCAGACTTGTACAAGATTATGTTCCAAAATAGACATGTTTGTGCAATATGTCATAGAATAACGCCTGACTTCCTCTTGTTCACTGTACAGGGAGATATGTGTTGATATACCATAGGGCGAGCCTACATCAAAATGTTAGTTTTCATATGAGAACCGCCTTACAACGAGACGCCGGCGTGGAATGCAATGAATGTTTTTTTAGCTTACGATGCCGCTTTATAATGAGGTTGTAATGATATAATGCGTTACGTTGATTTCAAAGGTGATTTATATATAGATCATGCTGGCGAGAGAACATAATATGCTGAGTCAGGGGAAAACAATGAGTTCATGTTATGTAGGGGGCATATGTGTGGCGGAAGTGGATATCAGTCCATATATGTGTGTACGTCTGCATGTATATTTTACAGAAAATCAGTAGCCCCAACATTCTATATGAACACTTGTCTGTGTCAGCGTGTCACGGACATCGTGTGTTTTGTTCCATACTGAGGTGAGGTGAAATAGGGTTTAACGTCGCATCCAAGATTATTGCACTTATATAGCGACGTGCATGCACGTGTATATGTGTGTGTGGCTGCTTGTACTAGTCCGGACTGATGCCGATTTATAGTGCTAGCTCACTGAAATACCATGCCGCAGTTTAACATGAATACCCCACTCAGACACAGTATACTGACTCCGAGCCGACCAGTCCTTTTTTTAGCCCCTTAATGCCGAGTGCCAGACAGGGTAACAACAACTACCATCTTTTAACGTCTTTTGGTATGACGTGGCTGGGGAACGAACCGGTGAAGATCAATGGCCCATTCGTGATCACTCGTCTCATTCAGGGACAAGCCGATTGGCGAGACATTCCCAACTCGTGGCCAATTTGTCGACATATTTCAGTATTCTCACGATTGTCAACAGCGAAAACAATAGTTAACATCTTTGATATTATAATGATAAAAAACGGTTGACATTTATAACCACAAAGTATGGCTTTGTGAGTATTGCGAGTGTCACTTTGATATATTTTCGGATACAAACTGTACCAATAAACATCAAATATTAATTAAGGATTCTTTGACCAAAGTACTTACAGTTATACGCGTATTCTGATTGGTTTGTCGCACAGAACATTGATCGAAAGGGTGACGAGTCTTCTAGGGAGAGGTGACCAATGGTACATGACCCGCTTTGAGACGTTGCAACATTGTTTTACCTTGTGACCATGACCTTGAAAATAAGTTATTTTATTATAATCAACAAATTAACGTTAATAACATTTTAGTTAAGTGTATCACGGGGCTTTCTTTAAACTTGCAGGTCGAACCAGGGTCACCGAGTCAAGGTCATCTGACCCCCGGTGACATCATCCTCGGTATCGGAGGGAGAACCTCTCAGGGCCTCACACACGCTCAGGCTCAGAACATGATCAAAGGGTCGGGCAACGCACTCATGCTTAATTTACAAAGGTAGGTCACGCCAATATGAAAGTTCAATATGATTACATTGACAAGATCATCAGCGCCTCATAGGCGGTTGTAGGGGCTGATTAAAGAAGGCCCGGGGTCAAGGCTAAGCAGTTGTCATTGAGAACGCGTGGATCGTTGTTTATGTTTTTTATTTACTGGTATATCTTATTTACAGGCCGGCGTAATATAACTGGAATAGTGCTGGCTGCGGCGTTTCACAACATTCACTCACTCCCACATTAAGGACCAATGAAACAGCCTTGGGGTCCAGCATTAACAGCGACATTTTAATTGACTCCATGTTGTGTGATGGGTGTTGGGTAGCCCAGTGGTTAAAGTGTTTGCTCGTCATACCGAATACTTGGGTTCGCGTCTCCATAGGGTCATTGTGGGAAGCATGTTGTTGTGGCCCCCAGTCGCAATACTGTTGCGATACATGTATGTCTGATGGTGACGTAATAGCTAACTCACTCACTCGCCGGGGAAACGGGTGGCCCAGTCGTCTAAGGCGCCGAGATTCGCTGTGCAGAGTTGCGTCCCTTGAACATGCCAGAAACCTATTATTGTGGGTTCGAATCCTGGTTCGCCCCGATTATGTTTCTAGGTTTGTCAGCACCATACCCGTGCTCGTGGGTTTCACCGAAGTGGTAAACGTCTGAGACCTGCATCACTTCGGGCTTTCCTCCCACATTAAGCTGGCACGCCCTGATATAACTGGAACACTGTTAAAAGCGGCGTTAAACCCAACTCACTCACTCACTCGCCTACCCATTGTGATATTGCTGACATATCTTTAAGGGGAAGTAATACCATACTCACTCACTCGCTCGCTCTGTATGATCTGAGTGGTTGCTTTAATGTACACCATTTCATTGTGTTACCCGACCGTGAAGATCCGGGGTAGAATAGGTCTCAGCAACCCATGCTTGCCGTAAGAGGTGACTATGCTTGTTGTAGAGAGGCGGCTAATGGGATCGGGTGGTCAGGCTCGCTGATCATCTTGGTCGATGCAAGTTATCGTATCTCAATTGCTTGGATCGATGCTAATGATGTTAATTACTGGGTTTTCTGGTCCAGACTCGATTTTTTACAGGCAGCCGTCATATAGCTGGAATATTGCTGAGTTCAGCTGGAATATTGCTGAGTTTGGCGTTGAACATCAAACAAATCGTGAGAAGATATTAACACGTCATACAGCTGGAATATTGCTGATTGCGGCGTTAAACAACAAACAAACAAACAAACATTGTGTAACCCTACTTATATTTTTTTTTATCATTTTGTCTCATTGTTCGAATCAAGAAAACTACCGAGTTACAGTAAACTATGCTTATAACGAACTCAAAGGGACCACTATCTTTAGTTCGTTATAAATATAGCTCTTTGTACGCATTTCGAGTGATTAAATATACAGAAATTGCCGGGACAATAAAAGTTCGTTACATCTGTCAGTTCGTTATAAGCGTTTCGTTTTAAACATACTTTACTGTATATCCCACGTGCCACGTGCTTTATGACACATAATAAATGGCGATTTCGTGTATAAACTACCATCTTATCGTTTCAGGGGTGGTGAGAATTTCGACCACATCAAACCGAAAGGGCCTATCAAGTTTTCACCCTGGAAACAACACTAGCATTCGCACTGCGAAGACGTTTTGAACAACGACTTCCATTTACGAAGTCAGTGTGTCACGTGACAGTGAAGGTGAAATGTCAAGGTCACGCGCTATTTCACCTTTCACGGCATGAAACTTTCCATGCTGTTCTGCTTTCAGTACAAGGAGGTTTTACATTGGATCAGAAGCGGATATTCTCATGCATTTTCACCATTTCCATAGACAGGCTGCTCCGTGAAGGCGATGAAAATTTCAAGGCTGGGAGGAGTTAGTGTTGATTGGATAGTCGTGATCACGTGGCTAAATGTCATGTGCCTCCGGATTGTATGGTAGATTAGCTTCCTTAAAACGAACCCTACAGGTCTGCGATTAAAAAATCTTCTTTATTATGGAATGATGCAGTTTTGAATGAATTTACAGGCAGGAAGTAAAATGTCAAACTTCCTTATATGGATATTGTATTATCACGTGATCTATCCCGATTTCAGGCTTGAATTGTGACTGACACCACTTTCATCTATGCATTTATCCTATGCAAAGGTTATTTCTTGCAAGTCCTATTTTTTGTAGACACGATATTCTAATTGCAAGTCGAAATATAAATGAAAATTCAGAGCAAGATTTATGTTAGATAATGATTTAGGTGATATGGAATTTTAATTCACAAACTCAAAAAGAAGCGCCATATTAGGTGATAGACATTTTATTGGAAACTGTCTATATTGTTTTATTGTACTTATTATTCATAACATCGTGAATTATCACAAGTAACACTTATTTATGTGATACTGTATCTCAAGGAGTGTTTATTGCTCACAGCGTTCTGTTTATTAACATCACGAGTATATTACTGTCGAAATTAAGATTTTAATTCTAAGAAACCTGAATATATCTTAATGTAAATGAACAATTTCAAAGCCATTGGAATCAGTACGTATTATATTGTATTGAGCAATAGAAGTTTTTAATTCCTGCTGTATGTCTCTTTTCGTTTTTCTTCTTAAAATTGTTAAATGTATGGTCTATATAAGTTGAAGTTTACATAGGTATTTTGTACATTTATTGTTTTACGGTTTATCTCAAACACTAGTGATTTTGCTGAAGTTATGTATTGTACTGTGTCAGAAATCGTTGCCCGTTTCATATAAATTTTTATTATGTTTATACTTTTCATAATGTCATGCTAACATTTGCTGGTTTAGAATTTAAATGGTGATTATCTATCACAAATAGTGATTTTTTTTTTGTAAATGTGTATATATTTAAACGATTGAGGTGTCTCTGCCCAATTTTTCCACACTCGAAAGAAATCATAAATATGAAATTTTGGATTTTTTAATGACAGTTCCAATCGTAAACTGGAAAAACAGAAATGATATTGAACAGTGATAATTTATTTTAACGCCCCCAAGACGGTCCTTAATAGATGTAAAGAATTATAATAATGTAAACTGCATATCTACGAATGTGTATTTCCGTGTTGACAGCCTTGTCATGGCGGTTGTAGAGTACATAGGCCGTGTGTGCAATGTATGATAGATGTATATATCGTCAGCAAGGTGTGTACATTTCGAGTGCATTATGTTAATAGTTGCGAGACGGTCCCTAGTTGACCAGTGGATAGTTTCAGAACCCCGCGTCGCCCTTCAGCCTCCGTCCATTGTCCTACATGTATTAAAATATTTTTTTCATTTTAATATTTTGTTTGTTGTGATATGAACTTTGTTTGTTGTTGTTTTGTATTTACGCCAGTCAGCAATGTTTGAGTTATGTCACGGTTGCATGTAAATAATTGAGAATGGATAGGATAAAACAGTGGGTGATACAATGAGCATCACCCCTCACGGCTGTGTAGAGTTGCCGCCCTTGGGCGCGTGCTCATGTGAATATGTCCTCAAGACCTTTACACAAAGAGGTATCGAATCGGAGACATGATTACATTTGAATGAGATTGACATCAAACTGACACGCCGTGATATAACTTAAATCCCATTGAAAACGGCGATAAAACAAACTCAATATTCCAGGGCTAATATTTTGTTCACATAAACATCTCAAAAGGTTAGGGGGCACGGGTGGCCAAGTCGTTTAAGGCGCCGCGATTCGCTGTGCAGAGTTGCGTCCCTTGGGCACGCCAGAAACCTATGATTGTGGGTTCGAATCCCAACTCACTCACTCAAAATGTTAACATATGAGGGTACATGTCTCCTTCAGGTTGGGTAGGTGAATGAGTGAGTGAGTGAGTGAGTTGGGTTAAACGCCGCTTTTAACAATATTCCAGTTATATCGCGGCGTGTCAGCTTAATGTGGGAGGAAAGCCCGAAGTGATGCAGGTCTCAGACGTTTACCACATCGGGGAAACCCACGAGCACGGGTATGGTGCTGACAAACCTAGAAACATAATTGGGGCGAACCGGGATTCGAACCCACAATCAAAGGTTTCTGGAGTGGCCAAGGGACGCAACTCTGCACAGCAAATCGCGGCGCCTTGGACGACTGGACCAACCGTGCCCCCGGGTAGGAGAGTGAAGAGGGTGGTATGTTCATAGGACAAGCGAAGCGATCGTTGTCGTTGCTGTATTGAAAGTCATCTTAACATTTACAGGAAAGTTTACCATCTTGCCATTTAAACAGTCCATTAGTTTTTCAGAATTGAAAGGGAGATGAAGTGGCCCAGTGGTTAAAGCGTTCGCTCGTCACGCCGAAAGCCCGGGTTTGTTCCCAACATGGGTACAACGTAGGAAGCCAATTTCCGGTGTTCGACACCGTGATATTGCTGGAACATTATGGAAAGCGAAGTAAAACCACACTCTCTGCCTCACACACTCACTCACTCACTCAACAGCTTTACTACCAACCTACCTTCTCCATCACTCTCCTACTCACCAGGCCACCGTCAATTTTACCCAAAGGACAGACTATTTCTCAATCAGCGTTTGAAAACATAAAACGATTCTAAAAATTCTAAACACATTTTTTTGGATTCCTTATCCTGCAGACCACCCAGGATGTCCAGGATATGTTTTGTTATGTCGTGTAAAGCCTGAGGAACATTGTTTCAAGTATTGTCGGGAACATATTTCTTTTGTTTTTCCCTTGCTGACTGGGGCGGACAAACCTTCACCCATTATTGAATGTCCGGACGTCGTCTCACTCAGGACACTGTCTCATATGGCACTGTCTCATATGGCAACCCCCAAACAACAGCTGAACGTTGACAAAAAGCTTACATAGTAGGTTAGAAAATATGAAGATCCTATTTGTTTGTCGTGTCTAAAATATCGTTTAAGAAAACTATTTTGTCAATGAAGTGAATAATCCGGTGTTCGTAAATTTCTGCTTTTTGGAAGTGTCTGGACCCTGGAAGTACCTGTATGTAGTATTAACGTCGAAGGTGGGTAACCCAATGGTGTGTGTGTTCGCTCGCCACATCGAAGATCCTGGTTCAGTTCCTACATGGTTTAACATGTGAAGCTCATTCGTAGTGTCTTCGGCCACGATATGGCTGGAATAGTGATAAAGTCTCACTCACTCACTCACTCACTCACTCACTCACTCACTCACTCACCCACCCACCCACCCACCCACGCACGCACGCACTCACTCACTCACTCACTCACTCACTCACTCACTCACTCACTCACTCACTCACTCACTCACTCACTCACTCACTCACTCACTCACTCACTCACTCACTCACTCACTCACTCACTCACTCCATTTTTTCTAGTCATGAAATATTCCAAAGACCTTTTATATTTGTTCATTAGAATAAATCTTAAATTTGGAAGCCATAGATGACTGCCGACAAATTAAATGGTTGTAGTCAAACACGTAAATGTCGGAACGATTTCAAACATCGCTTAATGTTCCGAGTTGTAAAGATTGCAAATTTTCTGAAAACGATCAAACAAAATACATTTTACTGCCTGAAATTTGGTGTTAAAGGGTTAATCGCTCACGTAAAACACTACACCCCGAAATATGTGCCAGTATATTATTCATAATTTGAAAACTGAACGGATTATGACATATTTGACTCTTCAATTTTTAAATCGTTTTTTTATTTTTTTATCAAGACAAACTTTCTTCACTTAATGTTCAAGTAATAGATACATCGACAACTTGTCCTGTCACTCAAATTCATTACAATGTACCAGTCCTTCATTGTCAGTGGGGGCGGTCGGGTAGCCTAGTGGTTAAAGCGTTCGCTCGTCACGCCGAAGACCCGGGTTCGATTCCCGACATGGGTACAATGTGTGAAGCCCATTTCTGGTGTCCCCCGCCGTGATATTGCTGGAATATTGCTCTAAGCGGCGTAAAATCAAACTCACTCACTCACTCACTCATTGTCAGTGTGATTGGTAACACAATGATTGAGTGCTATGTACACCACAACTGGAAACTGACACTTTCCCAATGCACCATTATGATTCGATACAAACCATTGAAGGAGAATCGAAGATGTTCTTCAACAGTAATCAATGACGTTATCGGAATTCCAATCACCCAGAATCTAAGCTAGATAATACGATACTCCAAAACACGGGTCAATCAGAAATAGATCAAGAGGGCGGATCAGTTAGCAATAGATCCAAGTCATGGCTCTTCCGGACCCCTGAAACCAACACTTACCTCGTGCGTCTGTGTACAATGTTTGTTTGACGTGTGATTCAAGGGCGTATATTGTATTTGTGGGCTTTCTTTGAATTCTATCTATTTGTATTGAGTACAGGGCCGAGTGAGGATGTTATTAAGATCTTGTTGAAGATAGACTCATTGTCTTCAAAATGCCAACAGATGACTCTGTAAGGAGATACGCCTGCAATGCTGGTTTTCAAGTTGGATAATATTGCTCATTCTCCAAAAGTCTCATTACCCATATAACAACATAATCAATACATTTCTCATCAGAATATTTTTTTCAAAATCACGAGATCACCTGGCTGTTTTGCTCTTTTTCCAAGTAGGCAGAAACTAAACTTTTTAGAAACCATGGTTCTAAAACGAAAGTTAACACGATCTTTAGAATTTCGTTCTACTCACAGAACTGATGATAAAAGAGGACAAACCCCAAATCGTTGAGCATTTACGTTTAAAAGACCCGCACTGTGAAACCTGATTGGATATTGATTCCTTACTCCGCGGGTGCCTCTCAGGGGTGTTGGAGTCCTACCTTCATCTGAAGTTATGAGGGGTAGCAGGGTAGTTCAGTGAATAGGCTAAGATATATTAAAACACATCTGTGACGTCATTCTATTGTTTGAATGCTCCATTATTTTTCAGGAATGGGGAGTTGTTTGTCAACTACACATTATCTTGAATCATAAATTTGAATTAATTTCCACTTGGAATAGACGGAACTATTTTTTACATTTATTGACAAGTGAATAATTTGTATTTTTTCCGAAAATGTGTGTCGCCAGGCGGGTTTCGAACCCGCATCGTTTGATTTGAGGACGTGTAAAAGTCAACCTCAGCTACGGCGGCACATGAAGACATGGTTTGAAATTAACTAATCAATATTTTCATAATTTTGTATAATGCCTAAAAGCTAGTATATATTCTATATTAGAGCAGGTTACCTACAACAATGTTTATATTTATAGCAATACGATCAATCTTTGACGAGGAAAAACAAATCAGGTAAATATATATCCTTGTTCGGGTCTCTATATTACCTATTATACCCGTCAGCATGTATTGACAATGTGCAAGCGATTGATAAATACCAGTTCAGGACACAACGAAAGTTTGAAGAGCCGTGTACCATGCATTGTAAGTATCAGCTCGCGACGGAGCTTGGTGCACGTGCAACAGCGGCAGAGAACGTATTCCTCGTGCATCATGCACGGGCGACTCACGCAGTGTAAATAAAGTCTACAAAATGTTCTGGCTTATTTTTCCAAATATTTTCCACACCAGAATATTTTGTCAAAGTGTAAAAGTAGGGATGAGTTTTAAGTAGGGGAATATCCTCGTAACTCTCCATTCCTTAAAAACAATGGGCCTCTGCCCCTACGGAGCCTCTGCTCCTTTCTTTTCAAGGAATGGCGTAGAGTTACTCGGACATTCTACTCTACGTCACTGCTTCCTGTGTTTGCAAAGACACGGCCGTTCTGTGCAGTCGCTAGTTTTTACTCAGGTGACATCGGCGATATTTTTCGTGCAACATGTTTGTTTGTTTGTTTTTATGTTGTTTGTTGTTTAACGCCGCACACAGCAATATTCCAGCTATATGACGGCGGTCTGTACATAATCGAGTCTGAACCAGACAATCCAGCGATTGATATCATGAGCATTGATCTACGCAATTGGGATACGATGACATACATCAACGAAGTCAGCGAGCCTGACCACCTGATCCCGTTAGTCGCCTCTTTCGACACATTCGTGACCAACATGTGTAATTCCGTGACAAGCCGAATAGCGACTGGTGCCCCTCTAGTGGCAATTTTTGCGACCGGGTTCCGACTTAGCGCAAGCGGGCATACCTAAAACAATTGTCAACTCGTTGCGTAATGGTTCACAAATATTTCCCCATATATTATATATATTTCAGATGCAACTTAAAGCACATCGGGACGTGGGGAATTATACAGTATGATTGAACACATTTAACTGTGTCTTGGGTATATTTTTAGATGCATGATGTAAAATCAAAACTCATTTCTGAGGGATTCTTTGACGAAGAATT